ATATACATACTATATATATATATATATATACAATGTGAATTGCTATCGCTTCTATATTATAGAATTAGCTTCACTTTATCTCTATTTTTCTCTTTTTTATGTTTAATATTCTTAGGTACACATACATAGACACTTTTTCCATGGAAAAAAGTCTATATAAAATTTATACAAAAGGTTTCTTATTTTCAGCAGAGATATCAAATTTGTCAAAACAAAATATCGGTAGACTTTTTCCCATTCTTTTGTTTTTTTTGATTATAGCAAGACTCAATCTATCTTTAATTTTTGCTAATATTGCTGAATCATTCAGAATTTTTTCTGAGCAAAGTAACTTTTAAGAATTACTTATTATTATTATATTTTCTTTTCTTTTACAGGAGTATATACTGTTTTGTGACTGAATTCATCCAAACAATTTGAAATTTCCCCTGGATAGTGGTTCTTTAGTTGTTGCTTTTTTGTGCATCGGATTTTGAATAATAATTCAGTGGGTCTTGAAGTATACAAGAGGAATATTGCCCGAGAGGGGACAAGTACGATAAGATCTGATAGTAAGAATATATTAAGATTCTTGAAGTACTACGTTTTTAGTTTTGGTTACCTTTTACTACTTCAGCGTTTGAACGGATAAAAATACTCAAATAGTTTAACATAGTCCAACCTATAGTGATACACAAGAAGGGAGGGCTCTAGGGGACATCCTGGTCTCTGGAAGTTCAATATACTTTAATATAATGCAAGGACACTCATACCCTACCAGCGGACAAGATCCTAAAAATATCTTATCGTCTGACGGCTCTCAAGCCTTTCTTTCTGTACCTGAGGCATCAAAGATAGCATACCCTAACATTACCTCAATAACGAGATACAACAATTTCAATAGAAGCACACATTCATTAAGTAACATAACTGGATATATGGCTTCTAGTGTACCCGCTACACAAATAGGAAATTATAAAGCTATTGCAACTGCTCAAAGCACCACTTCTGGTGTTGGTGGTGGTTCCAGTACCAACACGGAAGCCGATGAGGAAGAGTTAGATCAGCTGCTTCGGGAACTGCAGAGCTTAATCAATAGTCCATACGCACTGGCCGTTCTTCAAAACATATTGGAAGTTATTGAAGCACGCGCATTATGTAATTTTGATCCACTTTTTCGTGATACTTTTCTAGAGTCCCGTATACGTGACATCTTGATTGAGCTCACCACTCCAGGGACCGAGCAATCAATAGTCTTAGCACTCAACCTTATTGAAGGTCTGCTGCCTATTCGCTATACACATCCCCAACAGAAGTTCACTCGGCTATGTCGCAGCCTCACAGCTGTAATGGAATGTGATCTGGCACAGCCTTCTATAGATGCGCAAGAATTCTATAAACAAATGCTAAGGCTTGACATGCAATTTGATGACCCGCCTCTACTCACTTTTGTCCCAAAGGACCTTAAAGATCGATGCGAACACGCTCTCATGCAGCTTGATGGTCAATTACAGCAAACTAATGCACGGTTTCACCTAAAGTGCATGTCCATTCTGTTAGCAGGGGCAGCCACGGTTGAGATCAACCCCCACTACATAGGGAACCAGTTGCGCAACCAACTCATGATGCTGGCCATGGTACTCTCGAGCTCGGATGATACAACATTGTGTACCGCAGCTTATGACTGCCTTTGTGCGATTTTCCACAACACCAGTTATATGAGACGTAATGAGATCTCCCTGGAGAGTCGATGTATCTGCGAGGAAGCCATACGGGTGTTAAGCAACAAGCATCACAACGAGGCGAGTATTGTATCAACTTTGACTAGACTTCGTGCCTTATTGAGCAGTCGTGAGCTTGGCAATATTAACAAACATACCACGTCGCAGCTGTGTGTTTTAATAACTGAGCTGTACCGAAATACTGAATCAGCAGCGGTTCGGCTGTCGGTGTGCAAGTTGGTGCCCATTATTGCGCCGATCGATCTCTACCATGCACAGCGCCGGTCGAGCTACTGTGCTATCATTATGAAACCCGTCAAGAACATCCGTGACGAGCGCTCCAAGTCGGATGAGTTGAACAACGTTGCAGTTTTTATTGAGAATGCTGGCTATGGTGATTTGGACGCCGCTAACCGAACGAACATTGATTCTATTATACACCGCTACATATCTCGCGTGGAAACACAAGAAATATGCTGGCGTATCATTGCTGCCATCTGCCAATCAAATGCGAACAATCCGTTTCCACAGGGTTCTTCTTCGAGGACTGGAAGCTTGTGTGCACGTCGTTCTCTCGTGTGCACACCAAGCTGTGACGCACCAAGCTTAACCCAAACTATGTTAGCTTCTCAAATGGAAGACTCCAACGCCACAGAATTCTCGACCCTAGGCAAGGAACTCAAAAACTTACATACAAAAGACGCACCATCTGTCCCAGTAGGATTTTCACCAGTCATAAAAGGGATACAGAAGACATTTATGCCAACCATGACTTCCACAGAAGGAGTCGTTTCCACAACCACGCCACAGGTACAGTCCCAACACGGCGAGAACACCTCTAAATATATGAATAGGCTCCAGAAAATAAGCACCGGTACCAGCTCTTCTGACGTACCATTCACCGACTCAGTCACCTTGCACATCAACAGCCCTTCTTCTCAGAATTTGTCTTGCAATTATCCTACTGATGCAAATACTGCAAATGCGGCAGGCACGGTAGAGATGATTCGCCGCTGCATACCATGTATTGTGCATGCAGCACTCACTCGGAATTTAGTTCAGTATATTGGTATCATTCAGAAGCTTGTACCTTCTTTGAGCGATGACATTGAACGTTGTCTAGATAAGCTAGTAGATAGAACTCTTGAAAAGTTTGCCAAGAGCAACATAGACTCGGACCACGCAAGGAGAACAAGCATCAAGACAGACACCGCACATGCATCGACTTCTCAAAATGCCAGCCACCGAGATATTACACTTGACGCCAAGCACACTTCTCCAACATGCATTACTCCCCTATCGCATTTTTTAAGTTCTAATCATATTACAACAGGCGATGATTTGACAGACACAATTAGTAGGACAAATACTCAAAAGAACGAACAAAAAGACGGCTTCCCAAGTCACCTTAGCTCATCTTTGTATAGTACTCCGCTCTCTCGCAACCTGACAAGGATACCAGCAGGACATTCTTTCACGCCAACAGATTTGAAGAGTTCAACAACAACACACGGTCTCTGCCAATCAGTTCATTCTTTACAGCCTACTGGAAAGCCGAAATATGATTTGACAGTTGCCCTAGAGTGCTTTGCACGTCGTCCTGTCACATCTGTTCAGAAACTTGAAGCAATTAAAACGGTTATCATGCCATTTCAGCGCAATGCCGACCCTACAGTTCGGCAGAAAAGTAGCGAAGCTATCATTGTAAGCCTTATTGAGTGGATTCAATACGCTAAGGAGCATAAAACTTCAACTTACTCCACTCGCGTCATTGAGATTTTAGAATCCTATCTTAAAAATGCGGTTTCTGAGATGAACCCAACCTGTCGTCATCGCGAAATAACGCTTCTTGCAGACGCACCAAGCCTGCGCCCGTTTCTTTGCGAATCTCACACGCTTTCTACGCTACTTAGTTTTCTGAATTGTGAGCCGCTAGTGCGGGAGAAAACTGTGATATTACTCGTATCCCTCATTCAGGACCCAAAGCTTTCCAACTATATGATTTCAGTTAAACAGAGTCTTTACGTCGCGATTGAATCCTACATTGTAGTATTGGAGCACACCAACGAGACTCGGACCCTGATTCGAAGCTTAACAGACTTGCAAATCTTCGCATATTATTGCGTTCGTCTGCTTAATAATCATCTCTGTCGCATTCTCTACGCTTTTCGAAGGCGACTACAGGAGGATAATATACCCGACTCAGTTTCACTTACAATACTCATAACTCTTGACAAGATTCTAAGCGCTCTCGTAAAGGAGGAAAAGACGGTATTGCAGTATCAGGATGACTTTTCTGAGATTTACCCATCGGTAGTCAGTGTTTTTATCCAAACACCTTTGTTAGTTATTCGACATGCTGCAGTTAATGTTCTCATGAACCTTAATCATATGTGCCCTGCCTCCATGGTATTAATGGAAGAGAAACACCATGAGCTAATTGGTATTCTAGGGAACGTGTACAACGCAAATCAATGCACTCGTGAGGGACTTTCCAACATTTTAACGCTATTTGGACAGCTTGGGGCGGTAGATCCACCCTCAAACCCGATTGCGGTTAAGAAAAATAAAACTGAAGGGACCTTTGCTCAGGATGAAGCTGATTCAGACCTGATGTTTGACTGTACCGCTATCGTCTATCGTACCTTGTGCCGAATGTTGGATCTAAGCATGTCCGAAGCTGTTCATTCACAGACCTTGCGTACACTTTTAGATTTCATTCGCTGCACCCAAGACAGCAGAGAAGTCGTGGATGGGGTACACGCAGTGCAGGCGGTACTGCATGTATTGAAGTGTTTTACTGATAGTCTTCCCCTCCGTCTCGAAGCACTGCATGTCTTGGCCGGGATTATCGCGTTGAAGCATGATCGCGTCTCGCGCGTGATGCTGCCTGAAATTGTGGTTTTGTTGGAACAGCTTTGGATCCCAAATGATATTGTGCTTTTCCGCGCAGTCTTAGAGGTGGTTGAAGCTCTTAGACCAGGCAAGCTATCGGGCAAGGAGCATTTGGAAACATGGGCATGGCTGTACCCACGCCTCACTGACGCCGCGCTCCAAGATCACACCGAAACACATGAGTTCTGCCTGCACGTTATCGATATTATTCTTAACGCAAGTTATATCCCACCCCATTGTATGAATATCGTCTTTCCTATGTTAATGCATTTCGTTAAGCAGACTGACCTCCTTGTCGAGGTGCGTAGCCAATCGCTATGTGCGGCTGTTCATATTGTCTGTGAACTCAAAGCTACACAATATCTGCCCTCATTAATACAAGGTATTTCCACCTTTTCCAGGCACTGTGATATCAATAAAGAACTTGCGTCACAAATATGCACACCAAACGTACGAGAATCACTGAGGATGCTTTCCACCCTACAGTTTGGCGGGCGCTCCATCATCAAGCATCTTCGAGATCGTATCCTTGGCGTTGATGGATGTGGTTTCTCCGGCTCCCCGGCGTTAACTCTATCCGCGGCGGGCAGGAACCAAAACTACATTCTTGGGAGAGCGTCAGGACAATCGTACTGGAATACGGTCGTCCAGTCCAGTAGTAGTGCTCTCTCGTCTTCAACTCACATGAGCGTTCGAACAGACAGCGCGACCGGCGGGATAACCGGTAGATCATTTATTCAGCATAAACACCCTGAGCTACTGCGCGCTGACGACGACGCGATGCCATCTTCACTCATGCTTGGCAACGCCGATCCATCCCAAGACCTAGTTCTCTTTATGAAGCACATTGAAAGTGGCGAGCGTGTGAAAGAGAACAAGTTGCGGGAGTGGTTCGCTGAATTACAAAAGTGGATTATATTAGTCGCACCGCACCCCGCTTTTCGTGTCTTGGTGAATCTTTTTGACAAGCATGAGCAGCTTCGAAGAGAGCTTTTTTACCCATCCTTTAAGGTTTTGTACGAAATGCTGAGTGCAGAGCAGATTAAAAAAGTGGATGTTGTGCTTACATTGGTTTTGAATAGCAACGACGCTGATTTGTCAAGCAAATGTCTTGGATTAGTCGACTATCTCAATCACAACACACCTAAAATCTCAAAAGAAGTACTTGACGAGCTAAGCAACCTCGAACGCAACGATAATGGGAAGGTGTTTATACACGCTACGGATGCAGGACCAGTTCGTCAGAATTTTAATCCAAACTGGAACATGTGGCACGGTTACCCCTTCATTCACAACAACGAACAGATCCAGAAAGCTAGCAGTTCCACAAGCACAAACACCGTGGGAGACTTGAAAGCCAATGATGTTTTGACAGAAAAAGGAAGCCAAATCTGCACCCATGTTGATAACGTTGAGGTGCCGTTGCTATCCGATTCATGTGTGTCCTTACTGAACATTTCTCGGCATGACAAAGAAAGCGGTTGCTATCACAAACCCAAGGAAGGAGTTGAAGAAGAACAGCATGATGAGCTGTCTGAAATAAAAAGCATAACAGGCGGAGACGAGTTAATGTTCCCTAAAGAAACTCCAACGAATCTCACAATTGGCTCACAGGGGCCTCCCATTTGTGTGCCTAACATTAGCTCTTCAAACAGGAGTATAAATTTCCTACAAAAAGACAGTCCAATACCACATGGGGAACTTTCAACATGCAAAACGAACATCCTCTTCTCTACGAAAGATATTATTATGGCATCGAAGCGAACTCGAATGCATGACAAAGCTCTCAGTTACTTAGAATGCAATCTTCAGCATGTACTAAACGTCTACCGTTATCGTGAATTACCCCGTGAGGTGATCAAAAAAAATGTGTGGCCACTTGCTTGGGTTTACAGCCAGCGTGAAATGCAAGACTCGGTTGTTGGTCTCTTCAAAACAATCCGCTATGTTGGTAGTGATGATGATGGGTTTCGTTTCGAGCTCCTGCGTTGGTGGGAAAGAGCGAAGCAAGCCTACCAGAAGGCTTTTCAAGGTGATCCTATTGGTCCTTCAGTCAACTCAGGGATTGTAGAGGGCTACGTGAGGACACTCTGTTTTTGCGCGGAATGGGACAAGGCCTTGGCAGTAGTCAAACAGGTTTACGTTCATAATTCTCACGTTTTTTCTCAAACCGCCAGAAGCACCCACACACCCGGCACGGTCAACATTTCTTCAACTGTCGCTCAGTGTGGGGCTTTATCCGCCTGGGTGCTCGAACGCTGGGATGATGTGACCCAGTTAGCTGAATGCATATCCCCGAGTGAGGGTAACAATGCGGCCATTCGTCTCTTCTTCTTGAATGTTGCTCAGCTGCACTCCAGCATCGTCGAAGGAGCTACCAGTTCGTACGGCTCCCTACGGCGGTTGTTTAGCGAAGGAAAAATGGTGGTCGACAAAAGCTTATGCACCCTTATGCCTCTGAGCTATTCACATGCCTATGAAAATATAGCGCTGCTGCAGCACTTCACCGAGATGGAGGAAACCTTGGATTACACCCTCTGTCGCTCTACCAAGCGTCGTTCTCAGTTTATCGAGCGGTGGAACAAGCGCTTTTTGCACCTAAAACCCGACTCTCTATACCCCAGCCTGCACTCCCTCCTCCTCCATTCCCTTGTCCTCAGTCGCAGTGAGATGTCAAACATGATGTTGCACTTTTGTGAGTCCATGAGTGCGGAATATCCGAAACTCGCCATTTGGGCGATGAATTGGCTTTGGCGTGGTATTTCTTCATCTCATACCGATGGTGAGCCTCCGCCGATACACACAAGTGATATGCAAAAGAGCGACCCTAGTGTTGTGGTCGGTTATATCTCTCACTTGTGTTGTCAAGGTCACCGGCAGGCGGCCATTTTCTATATGGAGCGGTACTTGATGGACCATGGGAAGGAATTGGAGGTGAGAGATCCCGACTGCTATGGTGGGGCCCACCTAAAGTTAGGGATGTGGAAACAGGACCTTCATGCAGATTGCTTCTGGATGAAAGAGTACTGTGATACCGTATTGGCACACTTCCACGAGGCGATTCGAGCCATGCCGCACAGCTTCGAGGCGTGGCACAGCTGGGGTTTAATGAACTACCGCATTCAACAGCGCGAACACCGATTTACATTGAGCGAGTTCCAACGCTTTGTGGAGGCTGCACATCAGGGTTTTGTTGCGGCTATCTGTCGTTGTAAAAGTCCTTCTGAGGCCCTTCCCGGTATTATGCGTTTGCTTCAGTTATGGGTCCTGCACAATGGAGTTGCCTTTTTGAAGGAAATGGTTGCAGATAGCATCAGCCGCATTCCTGTCGATCATTGGGTCCAATCTATTCCACAGCTCATTGGATACCTCGGCAATGACTGCCACGACGTCCGCGAGATGATTAGTATGATTCTTAAATCGTTGTGTAGAAAACATCCTCAGGCTGTAGTGTTTCCTTTACTTGTTGTGCTTATACCAGATGATATGTGCATCAATACCGACCCGCAGCTGCTTCTAAAGCGAGAGTTGGTGCGGTCGATAATTCAGCACTGCCCTATACGAATTCGAAACGAGGCTGAGACCGTGGCTAAACTTCTGGTGGAGGTGTCAGCTATACCTATTGAAAAAATTCGAGAGAACTTGAGCCGGGTTGCCACGGCATGGAATCCCAATGCTGAATACGAGGATGACCGTGATGAGGTGCATCAACGGCTCAAGGCTACCTTAGATATCTTTGAAGTCAACCGCAGACACCTGCTCTACACTGTTGGTGATATTGGTCAATTTGTACGAATGGTTATTGATGATGATCTTCGCGGGCAGCGCGAGAAGGCGACCGGAATTGTAAATCAACTGGTGGATGAAATCACCAAACACATATCGGAAAAATTGGGAAGGGAACCCCAGAAGGCGATGGAACCGCTGTTGCGTTTACGAAATTGCGCTATTGCTGTGTTTGGTGAGTACGACATTGAGAACGTCAACTACCCCACCATTGTTTCTTTCAGTTCTGAACTGGATGTCATCCCTTCGAAGAAGCGACCACGGCGAATTCAGTTGAATGGCTCCGATGGATGTCTTTATAGCTATTGTCTTAAAGGGAATGAAGACATTCGCATGGACGAGCGTGTCATGCAACTTTTTGGAATGGTCAACATTCTTCTCAGTCACATGCGGATGCCCAGTCGGGCCGACATACACCGTTTCCCAGTCATTCCCATCACCTCCAACGTTGGTTTACTGGGTTGGGTGAAGGACGCGAGGACGATTAACAACACCATTTGCAACTATCGCTCGACCATTTCCCACCAGCGCACCCACCACGAGGCGAACGTGTTGCACCACTACGTGGAGTCCTTCGGGCAGTGGGAGAAGCTGAGCATCATTCAACGCACGGAGGCGCTGGACTTTGTCATGTCACAGAAAAATTGCAACGCGGTTGATGTCGCGCGCACGATGTGGTATCGCGCCAACACCGCCGAACAATGGCTTGATCTTCGGATTGTGTATACCACCTCATTGGCAACCATGTCCTTAGTGGGCTATGTACTTGGTCTCGGCGACCGCCATCTCGGCAACATCTTATTGTCCATGTCAACCGGAAAAATTGTTCATATTGACTTTGGTGATAGCTTTGACGTCGGTCGATTACGACATGTGCTGCCTGAGACCGTGCCATTCCGCCTAACACGTATGCTTACTAACGCGATGGAAGTATTTGGCGTCAACGGCGTTTTTCGGGCCTCGGCAACGCGTACTCAAAGTGTTTTAAGCCAGAACCGGGATAGCATTATGGCGCTGCTGTCGGCTTTTGTGTACGACGCGATTATGCAACATAAAGGTAATGTCAAAAATATTATGGATAAAAGTCGTTCGCCTCAGAACATTGTTGAGCGAACACGAAATAAGTTACGGGGAAGAGAAATGGCATTGCCGAACGCACGAATGACTATCTATAATACTACGCCAGAGAGTTGTCGTCGGCCTGATTTGCTCTTTATGTCTAAGGCCTTCGATGACAGCGCGGTACGGGATCAATCCCTAGGAATGACTCCTGAAATGCAAGTTGGATTTTTAATCGATGAAGCGACACGCATTGATAATCACACAACAATGTACTTTGGGTGGGGACCATTATGGTAATCAGCAAATGGAAATATTGAGCTGTATTAAAAAAAAAAATACGATTAATATGAAAAAACATGCGGATATGATTCATATAAGTAATCTTAAAGCTACCATTTTGTATTTTATACTGGTCTAATTAAACTAGACTTGAAATAAATCTATGCGTAGTGTCAGAAGAGAGGAGTGTAAACAGCGAAATATACACAGTAAGTTTACCAGAACTCTCTTAAAATTCGGAATTCGAGTTAACTTAAACAAACACTTTATGACCTAATAAATTTATATATATACATATATATATATATATATATACCTATATCTGGTCCTCTTTTTCTATTTTATTTGTTTGCCCTATGATATGAGCAAACAAAATCATCGTTTGAACAATACTAAATACATTGTGGAGGAAAAAATATTCTTCTACACTTATATATCCTTTCATAACGCAGTCTTTTGATTGGTACGGTGAAAGTATAAGTATCCATGAAATTCAAAATGAAAAATTCTAAATTTAGTGTACATTGCAATTCATCAGTACTACTGTATACCCATTATTTTTCTATCTCTGCAATTGATCTGAGGAATGCGTATTCACTCCAAAGGTAAGTTTTATTAGACAAGTAAACGCTTAAATTCAGATATGTTATGAAAAGGGTAACCGATAATGCTATTTTTATGAATGCATAGTAGGTGGGAAGTACTATAATATCATGTAGCTAAAAATAGACAAGTAAATAGTAATGTCAATTGTCTTGTTCAAGATAGTAGCTCCGAAAATATTCATTAGCGCAGTTATATAAGTTGAACTCTGTCATAACTTATATGACAGGTTCGCCCCTCTTCTCTTTTTCAGATGCTCTTTTCAATCATTCTTATGCGAATAACTGTTTTTCCCTCATCTTTTTTACCTAAATATAAATAAAGAGGGGGTAGAAAAAGCAAACCTTTTAAATAAACCAAAATGACGCTGCTGAAACTACAGTTGCCACAGCTCAAGGAGGGGGAGCAGCCCATGGAGTTCCGTGATATAGAAAAGAAAGGGTTGTCATCGTGGTGTTCACAAATCACAGTCGCAACCCAAGGGCTTGCCTACTATCAACGCCTTGAATTTTTGACTCAGCTGGATGGTGAGGCAAGACGCTTTTTCCATGCCCAGAGTGATCCCAAGAGCGCCGCGGCCCAGTGGAATAGTGATGAATCAGATAATGATGATGAAAGCGACCAGAGTCTTAGCGATGATGATCGCGGAACAGAAGGCCATCAAAAGGCGGCATCACAACGAAAGAAATTTGTTCAGATATCCGACGAGGATCTTTTGGTGAACTGGTATGATGTCCTCAAGCTGGAGCAGCAAGAAGCTGCCGTGGATGAGCAGATTCGGCAAGCTTACAAGCGTTGTTGCTTGGAAACCCACCCCGACAAACAGAAAGATCATTCAGATGAGTTGTTCAAGAAAGTACAGCGCGCGTTTGATATCCTTGGCGACCCGGAAAGGCGTCGGACCTACGATTCCTCACGACCGTTTGATGACAGTATCCCCGATGCAGTTGTGGAGGAATCGATCTTTTACCGTACCTTTAGACCGGTTTTTGAACGGAATAAGAAGTGGAGCACCGAAAAGGACTTACCCTCACTTGGCAACGATGCCACACCCTATTCTAGTGTGGTACATTTTTATGATCGCTGGAGTACTTTTCAGAGCTGGCGGGACTTCTCGCACATCGCCGAGCTTTCCGAAATTGACGATTCAATGTGTCGCGAAGAGAGACGTTATTATATGCGTGAAAATGAGCGGCAGCTCGCACAACATCATCGTGAAGAGCAAAAACGAATTCGGATGCTAGTGGAGCGGGCTCGAAAGAATGATCCTCGCCTACGCCGCAAACGAAACGAAGACGAAGCCAAACGGAAAAAAGAGCAGGAAGAGAGAGAGGCGTTTCGGGAAAAACTGCGAGCCGAGGAGCAATTTCGTCAAAAACAGGAAGAAGAAAAGGAGCGAAACCGGCAACATGAAGCGATTCGTACCGCGCAGGCACAAAAGGATGCCATACGACAAGCTCAAAAGGATTTGTTATCCTTCCTTGAAATGCATCATTTAATCGACAAGACGCCAACCAACAAAATCCTTCCCAACGCAATTCGAAAACCCAATATTGTGTGGTTGTTTTCAAAATTGAATGATGTACAAGAGGCGCAGTCGGTGCTGGAGGCGGTGCGGTCTGCCAGCGCCACCAATGGATCCAAGCCAATCATCACCACTGGGGAGCGTGGGGCTATCCCAGATACAAAAGAATGTGATGCTGACGAGATTGAGGCAGTTCAAGTATTCAACCGTTATATTTATGAATACGAAAAACTCATTGGGATGGACCGTTATGGGGAACCCATAAAGAAAGCCGGGTATGGTGATAAAATCCATACAGCGGGAGCAGCCTCCAGCGGGGCCGCTGCGAGCGCGTTGGGTGTGAACAAGAAGCCGGCACCCCCTGTGGTGTGGGCCCCTGATGATCTCACACGCCTGCAAAAGGCCATCGCGAAATACCCCCCCGGCACCATCGAGCGCTGGCCTAAAATTGTCGCCGCACTACACAACCGCTTCACAGAGGAGCAAGCCATGACCAAAGTGAACGATCTAAACGCCTCGCTCAGCAATTGTAATAGTGGGCATAACGGCGTCAGCGGTACGGGAGCTGGTGGTGGTTCGGGCGGAGGCTCCTCAGGGGCTTTACCCGCTGCTGTGGATGATTGGACCATCAAACAACAAAAACAACTGGAGCAAGGTCTGCGTGAGCTGAAGGACTACAAAGAAAAGGACAAATTTCAGAAAATTTCCGGAATAGTGGATGGCAAGACTGCAAAGGAGTGTTTTGATCGATTCAAGTTTTTGTGCTCAATAAAGCGTAAGGCTTAGCAATCCCTGTCAAAACCTGAAAATAAAAGTTACGCACTTTGTCCTTGATAACACTTGTTGCTGAATAAGAATAACATAGGTACGAGCAATACATATTTTTCAAAGAGGAGTACAATAACCGTTTTCTAAAACATTTAATAAACCCTTATCTTAAACCATTATTCAAAATAAAAAGTATGAACAGTAAGGTATTCAGTTTCGAAGTATTCTTTGTTATCGTCCAATCTCTCACACCCTTTATCTATTCATATTTAATCATTTATATATTTTTTGCTTGTTTCCTTTAGATCTCTCACTATATATATATATATATATAGATAGATAGATAGATTGATTGATTGATTGATTGATATAAATATAAAGAGAAATATAGTCATCACCCTTATTCAAATATCCACTGCTGTATCATACACTTCTTTATCTCATTTGTGTAGTGTGTTTTTGATTACCATTTTTTATATATTAATAATAGTATGAATCAAGACGCAAAAATGGCATATAATACTCATATCAAAGCGGCATCTCCACGAGAGCAAGTAATGTTCACAGGATCACCCTCTTTTCCACCTAGTGGCAATAATAATCCAATGCTCCAGATGGGGCTTCAGTATGGTCAAAACATTATCCAACAGGGCCTTCAGCAGAGTAAGAAGGAAATATCACCCTACATGCCTTTTTTTCTCATGAATCTTCGTAATTATTTTTGTGTAGACAATGAATATGTTCGATCTAAGCTTGGAATAATTTACTTTCCCTTTTTTCGGCGTTTCACGAGGTCCTCGGGAGGCGAAGGTGGTGGAGTCGCGATGGATACCGTTGGCAACAGCATCGGTTTTAGTGATGACGCCGCCCTTAATGGCCATTATGAAGCCAATACCAAGGCCCCCCCTCTGATCTTGCCCATTCACAACTGCTACGGTCTCGATCTCTATATTCCACTTATGGCTACTATTACTTATATTGTGCTCTCTGCCTTTGTTTTTGGCTCGCAACATCATCGCCCCGTTACGCAGGAGTATTTATTTTCTACCGCCTCCGCGGTGGTCTTTTGGTCTGTATTAGAGACAATCGCACTCAAACTGTTTGTTCATATTCTCCATCTGGTGCGTTGGGTCTCGGTGCTGGATATAATTGCCCTCAGTGGATACAAGAATGTTTTAGTGTGCACAGTTGTGCTGATTCGGCGAGTTACTCTCATGAGTAATTATACTTTTCTCATACCTTTTCTACTCTATATTACCGCGGCAAACAGCTTCTTCATCAATAAAACAATCATACTAATGTGTACACATGAAGACGGCCGTGTGCCACCGCGTGCACGCTTTTTTTCCTATATAGCCTGCATCCTTCAATTTACAACCCTATTGTGGCTCTGCATTCGTCCCTTTGGTGTGTGATCGGCTTGTAAATTTCATCCCGGTGTGCAAAATATTGGTTCAAATACTATTTTTATGGCTGTGCAATATATTAACAAGGTTTTATAAGCAATCAGAGTTTCACCAGCATTGATCGACTTTTGTTTTCTGTAACTTTATCAGCATTACGCTATTTCATAAAGTGTTTTCGTTTATTTCCATGTAAAATTTCGCTCTTCCTTCATCCTGGAAATTATTTTCTTATGAGGGGAGCACTACAATAGTTCTCTTTTTCACGTTCGCTTCATAAGGAAAAATAATAGAGTAGTTTTTGAAGGTACATATTGAGGAGGGTGGGTCTCCAACAGAACAAAGCAACACAAAGAAATGACATGGCACCTTAAAGGAAGGCAAGCCGTAGCTTCATTAGACCCAGCCACACGCTATCGCATCACGCGTTCTCAGGTGATGGCTCAATGTGCTAACAAACCCCTTCTCTGGGTTCTTGAAGAGCTCACCAGGGTTTTTGTTGTTGGCGGCCTATCTGGGCCGCTTCACAAAGTTGAACATTTTTTGTGCCTTATAACGCGTTTATTACAAATATGCCCTTCCCCCGACATCGTGCTAGTTATGCTTCGTCAGGAGCTGCATAAATATGTAAAGGTGGCAGCGTTATTTGTAATTCGCCTTATTGGGAACGATATTATAGTTCAAGAAGCAGTCAAGCTTGGCCTTAATGATTACCGAAAGATCCGGGTTTATGGAAGTGATGAAACTCCCGCAATGTCATTTGTGACCACAGGGACAAAGAGACCACGAGACACGGATGATGATGGTGGTGATTTCCCTGTGGAAAAGCAAAAAGATGAATCTGATGCGATTGAGAACCTAGAACCCCCACATTATTTTGTTCTGAGAATGGATGAACTCACCGAAAGACTATTCCAGTTGAATCAGCCTCGAGATGTACTAAGAAGTAAAAGTATTTTTTTAGGTGTCCCGCTTCCTGGCTTTGTTGATTTGCCTCATATTTTATAAACAGGATTTGTTTACCGTTTCTGTTCGTGGCACATGTACCTGCTTCGACTTTTTTTTGAGTGTGGTGGCTTGGACTTCCACTTTCTGAAAAATGTCTGTTGTCGCTAAGCGACTTTATTGTTCTTTTAAAACACTCTGTCGTTTTCATTTCTATTTTTGCTGTTAGTATTGCAGTATTCGCAAAGAGTGTAAAATTTTAACTAAAAGTTAATCTTCAGAAAATTTTCCCCCTTTTGCATATTTGGGCATTATTGAAAAATGAGCTCACTCGATGTTGAGGAATTGTTGCAACAACTAAAGCGCAGCGAAACCGCAGATCAGTACTCTGCAGCAGCATTGATTAGTTTTATGGAGAAGATGTACTTTGTTTCGGTATCAAAGGCTGCATACTTCGTTTTGGGTATTTCCTTAGTTGCAATATTTAGCATCTCATGCGTTGCACTTACGCGAAAACTGCACATGCGCATTCAGGGGGGTTTGGAAAAAGCGAAGGCAGGGATCCTAACTACTTACTTTACTGCAAGGATGTTTACTCTTTTAATAGATGTATGGATCATCCTCATTGCGCTCAGCACGGTCTTTTCTCTCATGAAGATGGCTGCAATAAGAATGAATTTAAGCAACAAGAGTCATCCCTTGCCAAAGGAATTATGTGAGTGGCTGACGGCGATCCCTATTTTACTCTTTATCCCCAAGTTTCTGGGCGCTTTCACTGTATGGCTCTATGTAATCCTGCTGGGTGGTTTTCTTGAAATAGGTGTTGCATCATCATTATTAGTATGCTTCCCTGCTTTCTACGAATCCCTTTGCTTAACTGGAAAAGAACCGGACAAAATGGCGCTGTGGGTCACACACAGTGTTTTCTTTTTAAGCGTGTTTGTGGCGTACTGTATGTGCGCCCCGTGGCTAATGAGAGAATTCCGCTACTCCGTGCACCAAATCCAAGGGTACACGCCGCATTTGTCATATTACAATCGCCAAGAATATAAAGAATTAAAAAAATATAAACAAGTAGTATCCAAAAAGAATGAATAAATTTTTTTTTTGAAAACTAATGAACCTGTGAAAAAGCTTCGCTTGCAAGCACAAAAAAAAGCTTCTTGTTACACAAAAAACCCTTCCTTACTCCCACTCTGTCTTCAAAACCAAGGTTTGGCCTCCTAACGTCGACTCGCTAGGCTTGGCAGCTTTTCTGAATATACCCTAAAATAAAAAAAATTACGTACTCTCGTGGGAAGATAGTTCAGTGGCAGAACATCAGATTGTGGCTCTGAATACCCGGGTCCGATTCCCGGTCTTCCCTGTTTTTTATCACCTCACCCCGAATGGTCAGGCACAGGAAATTTTTCAATCGTGTGAGAGTGCCCCGGGGTGAAAAGATTGACAGCTTCAATTTTTGGAGGGGTAGGACACTAATCTAAAC